TTTTTTTTTTTTTTTTTTTTTTTTTTTTAGCAAAATGCTGTTTATTTTGAGCATCTGAGTGGAGGCCTAAAAAGGCCTCCACCTTGAGAAGCATTTCATGCCGTCTGTGTGCGGAATGTCCACAGCCTGCCTTTGAAGGCTTAGGTTTAGCCATCAGAGACTGGTGTTTTGTTAAAACCCAAGTCAACCTGGTCCTTCTCTACAGGAGGATGCACAGGCTTAGTTTAGAATGTGTCTGGCTGGATTTTGCATGTCAAACATTTGTTCTTTTTCTGGCCTGTGTTAACCCTATCAAATCCATTACTAGGTAAATATTTTAAACCATGCAGCTTTATTACTCTCCTCCCCCAAGAATGTAGTTGAAATTTTCTCATTTTGGTAGTAGAGGCCTAACTGCCATTGTATTACTAATAATGCAACATGAAATTGAAGGTGCCTAACTGCTTAAAAAACAAAATCAGCCATCATACTGTAACGAGAAGAATGAGAGGTGCACAGTCACGAGTGGGCTCAGCCCCGCGAGTGAAGAGAAAGGAGAATCACAGGCCGAGCCCTGCGTCCTTGCTGCACAGTGGCTGCAGAGCACGTGCTTCTTTCCTGCCTACCTTCAGTTTTCTTTTTTTTTTTTTTTTTTTAGCAAAATGCTGTTTATTTTGAGCATCTGAGTGGAGGCCTAAAAAGGCCTCCACCTTGAGAAGCATTTCATGCCGTCTGTGTGCGGAATGTCCACAGCCTGCCTTTGAAGGCTTAGGTTTAGCCATCAGAGACTGGTGTTTTGTTAAAACCCAAGTCAACCTGGTCCTTCTCTACAGGAGGATGCACAGGCTTAGTTTAGAATGTGTCTGGCTGGATTTTGCATGTCAAACATTTGTTCTTTTTCTGGCCTGTGTTAACCCTATCAAATCCATTACTAGGTAAATATTTTTAAACCATGCAGCTTTATTACTCTCCTCCCCCAAAGAATGTAGTTTGAAATTTTCTCATTTTGGTAGTAGAGGCCTAACTGCCATTGTATTACTAATAATGCAACATGAAATTGAAGGTGCCTAACTGCTTAAAAAACAAAATCAGCCATCATACTGTAACCGAGAAGAATGAGAGGTGGCACAGTCACGAGTGGGCTCAGCCCACGCGAGTGAAGAGAAAGGAGGAATCACAGGGCCGAGTCCTGCGTCCTTGCTGCACAGTGGCTGCAGAGCACGTGCTTCTTTCCTGCCTACCTTCAGTTTTCTTCAGCTGTGTTCAGCGTACCTTCTGGAACCAGTAGAACCCTGTGTTTTCAAGTGTCTGTAACGTTAAGATCTAAGCAATGTCAAGCAACTTCTACTAGGCTTTTGTAACGCTGTGCTTGAGAACATTTCCCTGAGTGGGCCGGGCGTCAGAAGAGCCTGTTTTTCAGCAGATTCAGCAGGAGAGATGTGTGCAATGTTCCACTCAGTTTTGTAGTTGACATCTTCATTTAAAATGCTAAGATGCAATATCATTCACTTTGGAAAGGGGAAAATGCAAAATTGTGTTTCCCTTTTATCTGTGTGATTCCTTAAGAAACATGTTTTTTAAATATGTGTTCCAAATGGTTTTTTATTCTGTATTACTGCTTTGACCATGTGGCTCTCATGACTTTCATTGTACCAGATTCTTGGCTCCCTGAAATGTGGGGGTGAGAAACTCTGGACTTACAGCAAAATTTTTGTTCCATAACCGCAATACTGCATAATTAACATTTTTAATGGTATGGATTTTATACCATCTGTGTATGTTTGCAAATATTAAGTTATTACATGTTTTAAAATGAGCATTTTTCATCCTAAATTTTATATGTTTGCAAATATATTTTTTTAATAAAATTTCAAAACTAAGTTTTAGCACCTATTAAATTTTAATTGTGTTTTTATTTAATTTATAGAAATAGGAACTTTTAAGTGAACTGCTGCACTTTGCCAGGGCCCCATACTGGAGATAGGGTATGGTG